GTCATGCAGAGATTCGGCTGAAGTAACAAACATCACACTAATAGCTCCGGATGCTGAAGCGCCAAAACCTAATTTAAGAACGTAGTTCTTTTGGTTCGCAAAAGGAATGATGCACACAATCATCTTATTAAAGTTGATGCAAGACAATGAGGCCAAAGTCACCAACAAACGAAGAACATAACAAAACAAACTACGACAAAACCATTACAACAACGCCTTTAGAAAAGGATGAATGTTCTGACGCCATCGTCGTCGTGAAGACACCGTCTTCAACAAGATAGTGATGCAAGTTTGCCGTTGCTGAGCCCGACCGGCAAAGGCCAGAACAAGTGTTTTCACCCAAACATGAAGTGTGTTCTAAATGTCATCTTTGTAGCGGATCTTCCGACCGTCACGCCTGCCAGTTCTGCAAGCTAGGCCAGAGTGGCGCTAGCAAAGTCTTATGTCTGTGACAGCTTCACATGATCTAGTGCCCTCTTCCCGTCTAGTTTCTTTGACAAATAAAGTCTTGAATACTCTTCCACTTTTGTTATCTTGTATAGCACCTTCTCATCTGTAACTCCCAAAAGTGGTGAAACTATTCTATCATACTTTGGGACATGAAACGCTGATATCGATAAGCGTTCATTATGGGCATTTATTGTGACCCTATGCTCAATGCTCTTGTACTTCCCGTTTGTAATAATCTATAAAAAATGACTTAATTAAATTACAACAGCATGTTCATATAAAGGTGGAAAGAGCTAATGATGTACACATTTTGATGTCATAATTGCAGAATCGTTACAATTTTGTTGGAGAGCACTTCTCTTGACCTGAGCACGAATAAGAATTGTAGAAATGTTCGTTTTCCTATTTTATACTCCCTCCATTCCCAAATATTTGTCTTTCTAGAGATTTGAAGAAGTGACTATATACGGAGCAAAATGAGTAAATCTACACTCTAAAATATATCTACATGCATCTATATGTGGTAGTCCATTTGAAATCTTTAAAAAGACAAATATTTAGGAACGAAGGGAGTACAACTTAGGCTTGAGATGCTATATGTTCAAACTTGACTTAAAAAAGATCTTACCTCAAGAAGGTCACCCGCATTCACCAACAATGCATAGGGACGTGGATTCACCGGGATCCATACACCATGTCTCCTAATTTGTAGGCCTTGAACAGAATTGACCTCTAGTAGGATGGTTAGGAAAGACCCATCAGAATGTGGTGAGAAGCCTAAAACCTTTTCGGGTGTCAACGTGCATGGAGGGTAGTAGTTCATCCCAACAAATTGGACCACATTTTTGTCCGCCAGCAATTCAGGATCAACATCTAGTGTTTTTGCTATGAAGTTGGCAACCGAATGAGCGAGTTTCATCAATTTAGAAGAGTATTCTTCAATGGAACTCCTGGGATCAAAGAAGAAATAATGTTCTTGTTAACGTTAGGTGCAGTTACACATACTATCTACCTTTAAAAAACCAATTGCTGAAATGCTTATTGTAGATATATTACGATGATTTTTTTTCTTTTCTCTGTTTTGATGAATTTGAATAATTTTCTCAATATAGGGTTGATCTGCAAACTTCAGTGAATTAAGCCAAAAAAAAAGACTAGCTCTATTAAATCATAAATAGAAAAGTCAATGAACCATGTGTATGTTGATGACAATATCTACTTTGTTTTTTCGAGTTGGGCATCTTTTCTGTACCACGTATAGACATAAATCAGAAAATTTGGTAGTTGTTTATTGGAGTACAACAATGGGTATGGAAACAGCAACCATGTGCCATAGTTCTCTTGAATGGCGCGGTTGGCTGATTGAAAAGAATAGTTTCGGAACCACGTGGTAAAACTAATGTCTTAAATAGCGGACTATGAAAAATAGCGGCAGGCCTTTAAATTTGCTATAGCGGAGCTATAACGGGCTATAGCAGGCTGTAGCGGAATATTTGTAAATGTGACCATTTAGCGGCACTGTTGAAAAGGCTATTTTTTTAAGAAAAGGAGGATGACTCCGGCCTCTGCATCTGGGCGATGCATACGATCACTTTATTAATTATTCTCACAAGACTTTACAAAGTAATACAATAGTAAGAGGGTGCTTGGATCCAAGGGACTTATTTTAGTCTGACTAAAAATAGTCTCTTTAAGAGGCTAAAGTTCCAAGCACCTCTAACTAAAGAGGGACTAAAACTAGTCTTGAAACTAAAATGTTTTAGTCAGGGTACCCCTACTAAAATGTGGATTAGTCCCCTCTCTCCTCATTTAACTCCTCTCTTTAACACATGCGAGTTCTGGATTGGAGGGTTTGGAGGATAATAAATGCTTATTAACTTGATTTTAGTCTCTTTAGTATTTGGATCCAAGCATGGGTGAGGCTAGCAAGTTTTAGTCTCACTACTTTTAGTCATGAGACTAAAACGTATTCAAGCACCCTTTAAGACTAAAGCCGCCGTCTAAGCAACAAACTGTCTACACCTATCCAGTTGATGAAGGGGCGCAGATAGCCTGGGCCTAATACCAAACAGACATCGTAGCCAAACCTAACATCTAAGATCTGAAGTCCCATCCACTTATAGACATAAATCAGAAAATTTGGTAGTTGTTTATTGGAGTACAACAATGGGTATGGAAACAACAACCATGTCCATAGTTCTCTTGAATGGCCCGCCGTGTGGTTGGCTGATTGAAAAGAATAGTTTCAGAACCACGTGGTAAAACTAATGTTTTAAATAACGGGCTATGAAAAATAGCGGTGGACCTTCAAATTCGCTATAGCGGAGCTATAGCGGGATATTTGTGAATGCGACCATTTAGCGGCACCGTTGAAAAGGCTATTAGCCGGCTATTTAAAACTATGGGTAAAACAACATACAACATCTGGCGAGTTCAGTGACACTAGCTGAAAGAAACCTCAGTCCCCGCAGGCAAATCTAAGCTTCGGACTTTGTGAGCTTGCCGAGGTCGGGCGATCACGGACACATCGTCGGATTGCATCGGCATCAATGTCCGGCTAAAGTTGTACCGTACTACCGTTCGATCATGTCAGCCGTCAGATCGCCGGCAGCGGACACCATGAGTTTAGACCACCTGCTGTCGCTCGGGCTGCCATTCAGCGCCTCCACCTCCATTCAGCCAGTCAGCTCACTACGTGATTGATCAGGCGATTCACAGGCTAGCTACTATGCAGTTAATTAGGGTTGCTGCTTGCTAATCTTTTTCTGACGGGCTCGATCCAACAGAACTGGAATGTTAGATAAATTGCGATTTTAGAAAAAGATGCGACTAATGGCTCGGCCGGCTTGGCCAGAAGGTCCTCTGATCCTTGCATTTGGACGTACCGGTGCTAAACAATGCCCGTCGGCTCCCCAGCTTCTCCCCTTTTTCTTTTTCTCCCTTTTTTCTCTGAATTCTTAGCAGATGGGCCCTTTCCCTCTGAATTCTTAGCGGATAGACTACACAATATTGGAATTTCAGCCCAGCAACTTTGTTTAACATTTCTCATTTTTTATAGAATCAAATGTTATTCAAAATATTCATATCTTTCGAACTCTAACTCTAAATCTAACATGTTATATACAGAAATCACTCAGAAAAATCTGTAGATTATATATATGCTATTATCTTTCATGTAAATCATTGCTAAAATTATGTTTCGGCTGCAACCTTAACTAATACCTTCTTTATATGGGGTATTTTGGAAATGCCTATTATACATGTTTCTTACACCATTTAAATTGAGTAGATATGATAGTTTGATGCTCTCACAGAAGATATTATTCGGACCACATGGGATGTTGATTTCTACCAGGTACCATATGCTAAAGATTACAATATGTACACAATCATCCTCTCTAGTTCGTGCAGTGCACAACAACCAATTCATATACGATGAATTGCACTAAACTGCTGATACAAGCTTTATGTAAACAAGTAGCTTAATGTTGAATTCCATATTGTTTGAAATTATGCCCATAAAGCGTTTTGGAAACACTTTGAGTACACAAAAAAAGCATCCCACCTTTACGTTTTTATACAACACCACTTGTCATGTTGTATGTTGTGTGGCATAGTAGAATTGATTTGTTGATGCTATCGAGTGTGTGCATGAGGGGTGATTCTTTTTACTCCCGTGCAATGCACGAACATGTTTCCTAGTGTAAAGACAAAGCATGTAACTCTTAAACAAACACGAACATCACAGATGGGTGTTCAGCCAATCTTGTCATTTCAAGTTCTTAGCCTTTAATCTATGGCACAAAAGTATCAAGTCTTGTTTAAGTAAGTATCTCCAGGTTACGACACTTGGAACTTCATTTGTAACAATTTTTCCATTTCGAACAGTCCAAATATCCCAACATCCTAGAACATTTATATCCATGAAACCTTCTTGGGGCGTTCTCATCAAAGGCTGGAATTCCTCTTCTTTTGCTCGGCATCAGTGTCATCTAACAATCTTGAGAAAATTTGCAGTCCCAAAAAATATGCATTGGTGTTTCTTCAACTTGATCATTGCGGAAATGTTTAGAATGTTTTATACTACGGGCAGACAATAGAAGTGCGCCGGACAGGTCAAAGCTATCAAATCTACATGATCCTAGTGTGAAAATAATGAGATGGCAGTAGTCTCAGTTAGACAAAATAAGTACCAACAATTGGTTGGGTGGCTAATAGGACGGTTGTATTCTCAGTCTATTATTCTCTTCTTCCCCTTGGCGCCACCCTTCTTGCTTGGATGGCTTGGAACAATGGTTTGCGATAAACCTATTTCTGTCTTTCAAATACCACACAACTATAGCAGTAGAAGAATTTCAGCATATATATACAAAAGTAAATGCATATATTCAAATGAAGTGACAAACATCTTGTTGATTGGTCCTGATGAGAAATAAATATCTATTACAATGACACATCAAATAGTAGTTTAAGAGTTTTATGTAGAACGACAAAGTTCAGTAGGGTATCCTTATATTCCAGATAACTTAGCATAATCCAGGGCTTTCTTTCCTTCTAGTTTATTTGCGAAATAAAGTCTTGCATACTCTTCTACTCCCACTGCCTTGTATAACATCTTCTCTTCTATAGTTCCCAAAATTGGTGAAATTATTCCACCATAGGTTGGGACGTGAAATGCTGAAATAGATAGTCGCTCCTTGTGGGCATTTATGGTGACCCGATGCTCAATGCTCTTGTACTTCCCGTTCGACAAAATCTATAATAATATAAAAATTAATTTAAACAAATATCAAGCTTCTCATCTATATCCTTGAAAAAATAGTCCATTATTCATATAAAGTAGGAAGTAGTGTGAAAATTACACACAACATTGTACAAGAAAAACTTTCGTAGACACCATTCAACTATTGCTTTCTCAATAATCCAACCCTGATCTCTAGAAAAAGGTGCCTTTGCTTGTAGGGCCTTACTTTTTTCGCTTTATTCGATCAAGATTTCTTGGAAGGAACTGAAAGAACATAATTGGTAAACTGTTGAACATTTCCAATTTTTTTGTTTATCGTAACTTGATCCCGCTGGCAAACAGAGAATAGGAACAATAGTAACCAAGTGGCTTGTCCAAGGAGAAATTGCAATTAGTGTTTTCTTCAACCATGAATGAAGTTTCTTAGCAGAGTTGGCTAGATGCAGGGCGAGGGCTACAAAAGGTAGCTCGACGCCTCACTTGTTTGATTAGGTGGGCCTTCTAGTTTTTTGTCCCTTCAAAGTCTCAAGAATATTTAGAAATAGCGCTAACGCTAACCCGAAGTTATGGTTATTTTTTGAACCACCATACAATGTGGTAAAAATAGTGATGTGATCTTCAATAAATTGAGAAGTACTTTCACCATTTCCGGTAGCAGAAAATTGTAACACATGATGACACATCGGACATAAGCCCTTTCATTTGGTGTTGTGTCTGTGTGTGCGCATGTGCACCCACGTGCGTGCGTCTTGGAGTTTGTAATTAACTGGGAAGAGCAAAGTTATGAAATTGAGGATTTATCTTCACCCAAGCACAGGTATGGATCGCAAAAAAACATTTTTCCTGTCTTATATGACAATTACTTTTAGAGAAATCCATGCACCAGATCTTCTATTTGTAAGCCTTGAATTGATTATTAGTTGACTAACTTAACATGTCTTATGAAGCATACCTCAAGAAGGTCACCCACATTCACCAGTAGTGCATCAGGACGTGGCTTCACAGGAATCCATGCACCAGATCTTCTAATTTGTAAGCCTTGAACCGAATTAATTTCAAGCAGAATAGTCATAAAAGATCCATCAGAATGCGGTGAGAAACCTAGAACCTTTTCAGGCATTGACGTGCATGGAGGGTAGTAGCTCATCCTAAGAAATTGTGCCACATGTTTGTCTGCCAGTAGTTCAGGAGCAACATCTAGTGTTTTGGCAATGAAGACATTAATGGTTTGAGCGAGTTTCATCAGCTCCATTGAGTAATCTTCAATAGAATTCCTGGGATCATAACCATAAGAGTGTTTGTATGTTAATGCTAGGTATTGGTACATACTGAAATACCAGGACCTTTGTATGACCGGACCTAGCTTGTGTTAGTATCAAATACAAATAACAAGCCCAATTTTTTTGTTGCTTGTATGATCCCTGGTCTAGACCTTTGTTGGGTAGTACCTTGAACCATATAAAAACTTAGCTGCTAGATATTTATGATGAAAATATTACCCTGTAAAATGTAAAATCAATTTATTTTGTCAAAAAAACTCAATGTCCATTAGTTCCCTTTGTTTGTTTTCTGGATTTTAGTAAATTTTCAATATATAAGCTTTGTAAAGAACATTTTGTTGAATTCACCAAATTGACCAGGGCTTGGTAGAACTCAGCAATAACGGTAACAAATTATTAGGGTCTCGGGTGAGGTTGGTGTCATTATATACACATGTGTAAACATAAAAGGATCATAGTAGTTTACTTTGAGTCCCTAGCCTAGTTAGGAGTAAAACAATTTGCGTATGAATAATAAAGGGTGCCTTGAATCAAATAAATAAAATCTTAATCACCACTAAGTTTAGTTTGTATTGGTGTTGAATAATCAAAGGGTAGCATAACATTAAAAACGAATAATACAATAAGGCCAACATAAATGTTTGGTACCCCTCCTCGTTTACCTAAGAGTATATATTATTAGCTAATAAACATTTTTGCGTGAAACAAACACACAGAGTAGTTCATATGCATAAGGAAATCCAGAATTGCCAAAATCATGCTTCAAATGTCACACACCAAAACATGGCACACTATAGCAGTGAAAAAGAATGCCCTTAGTTCAAAATTCCATCCATTTTAACAAAAGATTATGTGTAACCAAGATAATCCTATAAGTTTTTTTAATCTAATATGGATTCAACTTGAGTTTCGGGCCAAATTAACATTTTTTCTTAATATGATGCTTTGAACAGAAGGAACATTTTCCTGCCATTTCTTATCCATCTACAGATTTCAAGCATGCACACAGTCTGACCTGAAAGTATGGGGCTGACTTGGCCAATAACTCATATCACGGCCTTGGGTTGGTTGGGCGAAGAGGGCAAGCAGGTCAGACCAGTCTAGCTTTTGATCATCGGAGACAACAAACGCTTGGCCATAACCTTGAAGATCCCCTGGGCGCTGAGCATAGGCATTCTTAACTTCTAACGGGAGTTGAAAGAACTTCTGAATATCATGCTTGATACCTGTGATGACCTCATCTGGTATTCCATGATTTACAACCTACAAATTTCAAATGTTGCACAAATGGTCATGCTTAATCAAACATACTTTTGAGCGATGTAATGATCAAATCTAGTAATTATTAGAGTTTTTTATAATCTCTAGGCCAATTCAAAATTTTGTCCTTGAATTCCAGTATGAGATATCCCAGGCCTTAAACTTTTTAAACCTGGCTAATCTAGTCCCTAACAATGATCAAAGCAATATGAGAAATGAAGTTGTGATGATTTCCCCATGTGGAGCCGAGTTGTAAATAAGTGGGAAAAAAATTGAAAAATCAATAATAAAAATACTAAGAAAAAAATTCAAGGGAAAAAAGTCATATAATTGTAAATATGAATAAATCTATAAGTTTTAGAACTAAAGTAAGTTACAAATATTTTAAAGTGGAAATATTCTAGAAAAGTTACTGAGAATATTAAAAATATTAAGTCAAAAATAATAAAATATAGAAAAATAAAAATAATTAATTTGTAAAAATACCAAATCAATTTGAGAAATCTCATGACTATTTTATGAAGAATATTGAAGTATCTACATTCTTCCGAGTTTCCATTATTGTTACCACACTATTTTTGAGTTTCCTAGGAATTCTATTACTTGGGGAATACATATGAGTTACTGTTTTTAAAACTTATGAATTATTGTTTTTGTAAATATTTCCATGGTTTTCTATTTTTTGGCATAACTTTATTTTTTGTGCTAATTTGAAATTAGTGTTCAAGATATATGTTTTTCTTTGTCTTGGAGAATATTTTTTATTTACTTATACTTTTGGTAAAAGTTTCTGATTCTTTCGTGTTCATTCAACTATGTGTATTATTATTAGTCATACGGCTCTATATTGTGGTTAGGAACAGAGTTTTTTTTGTATTTAAGGAACATAAGGTCCATAATCTCAAGTAATAGAGGCTAACAGACCAAGTCAACCAACGGCTGAGCAAAACAAATTTTGTTTGTTTTTCGTAGTATATTATGGACCCATGAAATAAGATTTGCCTCTCCGATTTATTAAGAAGAGAATAACATTTACATGTCTGTGTCACAACACACCCATGAGTACAAAAGTTGTTACTCTCGTGTCATAATTGCATCCAACTTCTTTGCGCCCGCTACCACCCAAAGTGGGCGCCCTTTTGGGACTCCCCTTGAATGAATAATAGCAAACTAAAGGACACAGCGCCCCTCATTTATGAGGCGTCTGCAAGGAAAATGTGGAAAGTTCAGGAGGCCTTGAAGGATGAGGCGTGGGTTGCCAAGATCCAAATTTCATGAAGCTTCTCTCTTGACCACTTTTTAGAAATTTGTTGTGCTTGGGGCCACTTTGTGACTTCATTCTTCTTGAGGAGGTCGAGGATGATAGTACTTGGATGCACACTACAACGGAGTCTACTCGGCGGAATCCGCTTACAATGCTCAATTCCTTGGCACCGTCCGTTCCCCCATGAAGCATGTTGTCTTGGAAGTTTGGGCCCCGCCTAAAATCAAGTTTTTTGCTTGGTTGGCCGCCCAAAATTGGATTTGGACCGCGGATAGGCTGGCCAAGCGCGACCGGCCAATTTGTGGCCTTTGCCCTCCATGTAAGCAAACTCAAGAATTGGCGGACCACCTCTTCTTCATGTGTGGCCACTTCACACTCAGGCTTTGGGGCATGATGAAAGGATGGCCATAATTGGAATATATCAATACTTTGAACCGGCACTTGTTGCAATCCACCAAGGAGTGGTGGGTTGGCTTATCTAACGAGACCGGAAGGCAATGGCCTCTCTAACCATGCTCATCTTTTGGGCAATTTGAAACGAAAGAAATGTACGGGTCTTCCGGAACAAAAGTCTTTTGTAGTATTTGTTGTGCTTGTGTTGGTGCTTCAACAACAACATGTTTAACATGCAATTAGACGATATTTTTGCCTAGAAAGTGAAGACATAAAGAACTGGTTGGCCAATATGGCCTAAAGTTGCGTACGTGCCGGTTTTTTTGCATGGAAATGATAAACAATTTACAGTAGTGACGCACCTGAAAGAAGCCCCACTCGGCGCAGGCAAACCTGAGCTTCGCGACCTCTGCCTCGACGGACTCGGGGCTCAAGAGGTTGCTGAGATCGATCACCGGAACCTCGCCGGAGTGCTCGGGGAGAACGGCGTGCGTGTCGATGTCCGGCTGGACATACCGTTCGATCTGGTCGGCCGTCAGCTCGCCGGCGGACGCCACCAGAGCCTGGACGTTCGCGACGGGAAGCGACGTTCCCAGCTTCGACCACCGGATCTCGCCGGCGCTGCCACTCGCTGCCTCCACCTCCATCGTAGCTAGCTAATTGTTCACTAAGAGTGTTTCTCGCTAGTAAAGTTGCAGGGATCCAGCCATCGATCAGGCTATTATATACTGCGATGTTTTTTTCATGATGACATCTAAGCTGTGCTGTGATGTTTGTTACTACATGAAACGAGTCAGAAAATGCGAATGATTCCTCGCCTGGCTCGCCCGGAAGGCCGTCCGATCCATGTGTTTGGACTTACCCATCGATGCTAAAAATATGGCCGGCGGCCAAGAGCCGAATTTAACTCGGATAAGAGCATCTGTTAGCCGCATATAGCTAATCCTCCCTCTCATGTCCGCGGGCAGTGATCGCTCACACCTCAAAGTTGTACCTCATTTATCAAACTGCAAATCCATACGACCACATGCATAGTAAACCATCTCTACGATTCCATACAGACCGTCCGGCAACTAAATCAATACATGCCATTGGACTACCAATAATTGGCATTTGTACATACATAGTAAGCTATGGATAAAAATCATCGACGGCTGCCCTTGCCCTTGCCCACGTCCTTGGCGTTTTTGTCATGGAAATGGCACTCGAAGACGCAAAATGGATCAAGTCGGATATGCTCATCTTTGGAGTTGTCCGACCCGTCACGGTCCTCCTTCTCCTCTTTGGGGTGTAGTCCAGCCATGGCACGGATCACCCAATTTTGCTCTCGGCTGAGGGCTCACGTGTTCCTCCTTAGCCGCTTCTGGAGGATGTGGCCACATACGGTTTCCTCTCGTCCAAGGCATTGCGCAACGCCGCATTCGCCGCCTCCACCTTAGCCATGTCGGTAGTGTGGAGGGCTTCGGCCTCCTACGCCCCCCTGCTTTGCACGGCGGGCGCATAGGTCCCTTAACACTCATACGACTCTGCACAGGAGATCGGGCTATAGATGGAAGTCGAGCCTCTAGATTTGGTGACCGAGCACCACTTTGTCAACGCAAAAGATTCTCGTCGGATCGAGTCTGACCCCGGTCGAACGCACTCCTCTCAGGAGCGGCGAGCCATGCAGACGGCCATAGCCTCCTCCTTCCGGCGTGGCACGATGCCCCGGTCAACGAAACGGGAGTGGTTGTCGGAGTCGAATCCGCTGTCCGTCGTGCCGGAGAAGGCCGGAAATCGCTGGGAGCTAGCTTAGGGGCGGAGTGGAGTGGCTAGGCTTTGGTCTGGGATCTGGATGTACATGAATATATGTGGGGTCAGGATGGGGCAGCGTGTCCTGATCCGACGTGATAGACGCACATGGGCCCCATATTCACCCAACATTTGGGATGGATATGGGTGCCGGTTAGCCTGAGCATATGGGGTGATATGAAGAGCCCGTCCGAGTCAGAATTTTGTAACCGGTTAGTGATCGGACTGTTCACCCAGGCATATACCAGGAGTTTTGGAAGACCGGCTATAGATGCTCTAAGTGCACCGACACACTTGCAAATCTATTGTGGCTAGGCTAAAACAATCCTTTGTAGTTTGTACATGCAGTTGTGAACTTTTTCTGAAATGAAACCAGGAGACGACCTTTATTTTTCAGAGGTTAGAAATCACAAGACGACAAAACCCATGGCTGTTTTTTTTAATTAAAATGCATGTCTCTTACAACAGGTAACCACATGTATAAAGTATCTTCTACTCCCTCTGTCCCATAATATAAGAACGTTTTTGACACTATTATAGTGCCAAAAATGTTCTTATATTATGGGACGGAGGGAGTAACAAATAGTGGCTGAATATTGTAAAAAAAACTCACAGACAAGTACAATATGAATTAATCTATAAACGAAATATGATGGACGGTATCCACATGTCAATGATTATGCGAGAACTATATCTCGCTTATAGCGAGCGGTATCTGTCGTCATGCGGAAGCTATTTTCTACATGCTACAGTAATGAGCCGGCCCATTCACTCGCTCGCACGGTGCGCTCACTATGTTTGATGCATTTGGTTCAGTAGTACACTTTGTTTTTAGTTTTTTTTTCTTTCTATTTTTTCTATTTTTTTCATGTTTTTCTTCCGGCTTTTTGTATTTCTTAGTTTTATTGTTTATCACCAGTTTTCTTAATTTGTCTATTGGTTTTCACTGGGGTTTTTCCTTTTCTTTGTTTTTCTACTATTTTCTTTGTTTCTTCTTCTTTTTTTCTTCAGGTTTTTTTACTCGTTGTTCTTTAGTTTTCTTTGTTTTCTTTTCTTTTTCTTTTCTACACTCATTTTTCTTTGGTTTTTTGTTTTCTTTTTTTCTTTGGTTTTCTTTTGTTACTTTCCTCAGTATTTTTTGTTTTCTTCATTAACTTTTTTTTCCTCTTTTTTTCTAGTTTTCTTTCCTTTATATATGTTTCTTAGTTGCTTTCCACATTTTTTATTTTGTTTTCAAACACATATCTAAGTTTTTCAAGTGCACCATGTACATGTTTTATGTACACATGAAACATTTTCTTTATACACATTCTACATTTCTCAAATACATGATGTACATTTTTATTACAAAAAATGTTTTGAACAACTTTAAAATATACACGTTCTACATTTCTTGAATACCCACTGAAATTTTTTATTGTAATAAATATATTTTTAAAGAGCACAAACTATTTTTAAATACATGATTAACATTTTTTCGAACATATCCTTTTGATCTATACTTTGTCCATATATATCTTTACATATTTCGTATACACTAGGATTATTTATAATATACATGCTTAACATTTTCTATATTCTTTATTAACATTTTTACAGCTTTTATTTTTTATGTATGTTTCTTTATGCACTATGAATTTTTGTATTCACCACGGACACTTTTTATATACATGTTTAACATTTTTTTAAACATGACTAACATTTTCTAAAACACATTTTTTCATGTCTATTTTTTACATACACATTCGACATTTTTTGTATATATCCAGAACATATCTAATATACATGTTTATTAGTGTCCAAATACATGATTAAATGTTTTAGAAACATATCTTTGATGTCTACTCATTTCTAGACACATGGTACATATTATATATTTTATAAATGCATGATTAACATTTTTCAACTTTTGTATATAATAAAGTGAATTTTATAATATATATATATATATTCTGAATATTTTGAAATACAAGCAAATGTTAAAAAATGAAACAAAAAAGGAATGCAAAAATGTGAATATAAACGGAAGGAAAAAGAAAGCACTAAAGGCCATTTCGCGCTGGGCGGCGCAATCAGGCGGTGCCTTCAGCGGGACGTCCTATTGTCTCGTTGATTATGGGAGTGGCTCGAATGAGTTGAGCCACTTTTTGGGCTTAACTCAAACCGAGCCCAACAACTCGCTATTTATTTTTGGTTGTTTCAAATATTTTCATCCAAAGCGTGCTTCTTGGGTAAAAGATACTTCGAAGGTTCTAGTAAAGATTGGAGAAGGATTATTGCCTATAAATTCCATGGAAGGTGCTTTGTGACAATGCTCAATCAGTGTTCCTCCTAAAATGCCTGGCTCTGCTGAACCACCGGTGTGGAGAGCTGTTGAGGACCGCGTGGACTGATCCTTCCCCGGGATGCGTGATGAAGAGGGATGCCAGACCCTGATGTCCAACACTTATTTCCAGCGTGCCTAAGTGCTTGGCTGTTGTTATTCCTAAGTTGTTGATTCTTTTCATTTGTGTTCTGGGTGTAATGTTTTAGGGAAAGTTTTCCAAAACTATCGAAACTTTCCAATGGTTGGGAAGCATTATCCGATAGTTCCCAGAATACTCAGAAGGACCTATATTGAATTGCTCAAAGTTTTATTTTTTAAATATGATCCACATTAGGATTTAAAAAATCAAAGTTTTCAAAGTTACAGTGAGGTGATTAGGCTTGGGGATTGCCTCTACATCGCTTAAGGCGCAAATTGGTGGATCAGTGCTCATGCGCATGCTCGGTTAGGCCGCCCATTAGCACCCTCGACCAGTCGTTCACTCGCCTGCTAGCTACTTGTTTAGGGGGGAAACTAACACCTCTGTTTTTATGGATTAAAAAAATCATACTTAAAAAATGTTCGTGGATTGAAAAAAATATGGATTTGAAAAGAAAATCATGAATTTGAAAAAATATATCACAAAATTAAAAGTGTTGATGAATTTGAGAAAAATGTTCATGAATTTGAAGAAACTTTGCAAAAGAAGGGAATAAAAAGTAAACCCGCTTCAACATGCAAACATGCACGAGAATTTCCCCTCTACATGCTATTTATGTTTAATAAATATTTCAAAACTATAAAATAATCAAAAAGGACAGACCCAGTGCATAGAAGCTCCCACACAAGGTGGGGTCTGGGGAGGGATTATAAAATAATCAAACACTATAAATTATATGTATTTTAAGTTTTAGCTCTCATATTATTACATCAAATATTCATGTCCGTACAATCAAATATCACTGAAATATATTGCAAAGTACTCCCACAACAAGTGCAGGCCGACAGGCCTGAATTTCTAATCTTTTCATCAAGATGAAAACACACACAAGCAGTAATAAAACATTCAGTACACCTTGTTCACTGAATGATACAATACTTGGCTGTAACATTGAAGGGCAATTCGCTCCATGAATGATTCAACATTCAGGGGAACAGTATATGCCAATGGGGTGCCATACCCACCAAAGTATTAATTTAATTCAAACCAAAACATGATTTTTTTTATTCTGCACGCAAAATACACCAAGAACTTAAGATAATAGGAACCCCGCAATTATTTCATATTGTTCATGCACCAATATTGGAAAGGATCATCGAGGCAGTTGACAAGTGGCCGTATGCAGGATGCTGCAGCCCAGACTTACGCAATAATGGTGTTCTGCTTGAGAAGACCAGGTTAATCCTGAGAAGAAGAATTTGTTAATACTTTCATATTGACTAATCATAAAAATAAATGTAGGACCATCGAAATTTTTCTCTGCATATTCCATGGGAAGGATTTACATATACTCCCTCCGTCCCAAAATAAGTGTCGCTGATTCAGTACAAAGTTGTACTAAATCAACGGCACTTATTTTGGTACAGAGGAAGTACATTGGAAAATTTCTCTTAAGTTTATCACACATCTGTTGCAGAGAAGTTTCAGTATGGCTAAATTTTTTCTATTGAACGGGAACCATGGACATACTGAGCAAAGGTTCTAGTGAAGTTTCAATTAATGATGTTTGGCGGTATTTCCGTTACCCTGAAGGAAGCAATTTTTTGTGTGGATATTCTCTACCTTAGATCCTAAGCTACTTGATTTATTTATTACTCCCTCTGTTTAAAAATGCAAGACGTTTTTTTGGTTTAGATCGAGACTAAAAAACATCTTACATTTTGTTACAGAGACAGTACAAGATTTGCTGTTATAACAAAATGTGCTGTAAAAAACTGTAGATACTAACTAGTTGGTGAGTGACTTACATTTCCTTGTCACAGGCTGATCTTCTATAGAATCCCACACCGGGATCTCCTTAATCCCAGAATATTCATTAAGCAACACAAGGAACTCTTCAGTGATATGGAGAAAACTTAAGACTTTGGAGGGATGTAAGAAACTCAAGGCCAGCTGGAACACCCTTCAATTTTCTCAGGTTCACTAGCTGCAAAATATGGAGGCTTTCCATGGCACCTTTCTTTATCTTTAGCTTACTTAGAGAAGGCAAGTCACGCAGTTTCAGAGACTTCAAATTGGGGAACCATCCCTTGTTGAATGTTAATATTTTCCCGACGAATGCTTCTGTAAGATGCAGCTCTGTCAGGTTATCCAATCCCGAGATGGATGGGAGGGGATCTTCTGGCAGACACGACCAAACAAGATATAGTCCACATAGCTTCTTCCCTCCTTTCTGGAAAAGAGGAGACTGAAATGTCACTTCTGCCAATCTCCCTCTCAGAATGAGTTTCTGAAGGTTGAGGGGTGGGGTTTTCAGCTCATTCAACTGAAGAATTTGATCCTTGTCACTCATGGTAATATGTAATTGATTCAAGAGTTGCATCTTCAAGATGGACCTGCAAAAAAGCGCACAGTGGGTTTCCTTCTGGTTACTTATCCTCAAGCTCCTTAGTTGCTTTAGCTCCCCCAGCTCTTTAATAGAATCTTCTCGTGCTTCAATTGTATTCAGCGTCTGCAAACTTGTCAATTTTGATAGACCCTTCTGGATGCGCATACCATGGCGACATATAAAAGATCGATGTGACCGATCTACAATTCTCTCAACAAGTAAGTGCCTCAAGTTCTTCAGCTTGACAATCCCATGAGGCAATTCTTGTATCACACTGTTGAAAATATCCAATGTCAACAAGTTGGAGAGCTTCTCAATAGACTTCGGGAGGATCTTCACCTTTGAATCGCGCAGATTAAAAAGATCTCCAACAGCACTTGGCACTTCCTCGATGGTCAAGCCACATAGTTCTAGGACTACGATGTACTTAGAGTTAACTGCTACAGAATCAAGTATTCTGGATGATGGCATGGCCTTATGAAATATGATGCAAGATCTAAGACGAGGTAGCTGTAAATGTGGCAAAATATCATTGCTGCATTTAGATACAACCAAGCGACGAGTGTTTGTGTCCAGAATACCATGATTCCCATACTCATATGCAAGACCAAAACTTTCTTTCTGGGATAAATCAATTGCCAACTCACGAACAATGTCATGCATTTTGCAGGATCTTATTCTGCCAAATGAGTTGCATTCCGCAGGCTGCAGCATATTTCTGTGGACAAGCTCGTTCAAATAGCCTTCTGCCACTTCTTCCAATGTACTACTATGACCCCTTTCCTCAATGAACCCCTCTGCAATCCATAGTCTGATGAGTAACTTCCTGTGAAGAATGTAGTCCTCCGGAAACAAGGAACAGTACAGAAAACAACTCTTCAGGTATGTAGGAAGGTATATGAAGCTCAAATACAAAGTATTCCTCACATCATCAAGCCCCGGGTTATGCGCCAGCTCCCAACCTAGCTGGTCATGGATTCGTTTCCATTCTGTTGGATTCTTCTCGCGCACAAACAAGAGACTTCCAACTGACACAATAGCAAGAGGCAAGCCTTTACACACTTGGCCACTATCTGCTCTGAGTGGCCCTTCAGCTCCGTAGGGCATTCATAATCTTCCTCCCTCCGAAAAGCTTTCCTACGGAAGAGTAACCATGCCTTGTCATCTGGCAAGCATTCACTTTTTAGTGCACGTCCTTTGGACGCCAGCCGAGCTATATCGTCATTGCGCGTCGTAATGACTATTCTGCTTCCTTTAGTATTTGGGGCAAGTTCTCCTAACAATCAGGTATCTCTTTTGCTCTAGAAACTTGCTGAGTTTACCTTTTATATTGATCAAGTCCATTGTAGTGATCTCGGTGGGAGCAGTTTCCCCATCACGATGAAGTTCCTTAAATAGTTTCCTCAAGAGCTCTATTGGCGAATATGTTTGTGAGACAGATACCCATGCATGGCAGTCATACTTTTCTCTCTTCTCATTATACACATTTGCAGCTAACCAAAAATCTCCTCGCTTTTTCTTCATTGCTTCGATGATCTAGTTTACAATGTGGGATTACATAGGTATACATAGCAGCTAAACTACCAATATCTAGTTCAAGTATACACATTTGAAGCTAACCAAAAATCTCCAATCTGTTTTTTCCGATCGCAAGTTATGCGAGTCGCCACGGGACGTTCTGCCAAGTTGAAGCTAGCCTCTAGTTCAAGTATACATACGGCAAGACACGCACGTACTGTGGCTAGGCACGAAATCAATCAAGCTAGCTTTGCATGTATATGTGCTGCATCTGGGTGAATCGAGCTAGCGTTCTAAAGCCAACAAGGACGGGATCAGATGTGGAACTGAAAGAACTGGATGGAAAGAGAAACTAAAATCATGATTATGATTTACAGTTAAGAGTCACACACTTGAATTTTGTACTTGTGTTTTTTACAGGAGTGTTATTCTCTCAATTAGGGTAGTGTGTATTTGTTTATTTGGGTTAGATATGAGAGACGAGTAAAATTATATTTGTTTATTTATGTCTCTTAAAAGGCTGCTAGTCCCACATGTAGGTAGAAGTACATTTTGTTTATTTGGTATGTGAACTCATTATCAACTCAAACATTTATAAGTACGAAAGATATCTTACAAAAATATCCACCTTAATAGAGTGAGTGTGGCCTATACTGCACATTCCAGTACTTTAGCAATTTAGTTCATGGTAAGTTGCTCATGCACAACGAATTATATCAGTTCTATTATCAGTGTGTTTTACAGTTGTTAAGAGTGAGAAAATATGCAACTTGTATTTTCAATAGGCCATAGTCATAGCATAAATACGTACATGTGTGTTAAATGTGCAGAAAACTCCTTATACAACAAGGATAATTGAAGGCCATCTAACTCTTCGGGCGATTGAATGTTCATCCATTCCCCAAGGTAAATTTTGGTGACTAATTTCAACATATCTCAAGAAACTAATGCCTGCTACAAGATTATTTCGGGAAAGTTTTCAACGAAGGAAATGGAAGGTGACCCCCACAAATCAACATGATCACAAGTATTAGTCAAGCTCAAGAATTGCCATTGTCATTTGAGTGATCCAAGATCACATCGAGTTCTCTTAGGCATGCCGATACTATCAAAAGGAGATGAGGAAGCTATAATGAGTTTTTCTCGAGTGATTGAAGATCAAACTCCATAAGTCATCAAAAGTCTTCATTTTTCCTCCACTATGTGATGTAGGGTGGAACCCTAATGGTGTCGATCTTTCACGATTGGAGAGGATCCCACGAAGAACACGAGAGGGGGAAACAAGAGGAAACACTCAAATAGACAAGACAGAATCACACATGTGCTAAATCCACATACACACGGAGAGATTCACGATCCAAAGTCAATAAGGGAGGATACACACGGTAGCTAGTTCATCCCAATCCGTGAGGAGGTGGGGTCTCGAATCTGTAGAGGATCTTCCCTAGAAGGGGTCTTGAATCCGCTTGGGGGATCTTCTCCTAGGAGGTCTTGAACTCCAAGGAGTAGGGGTAAGTGGATGAGCAAAGCTCAATCTCTAATGAGCTAATCCTTTGCTAACCCTAGATGGAGGAGGGGGAGGTCTATATATAGTGCTAGTACAAGTTGAGGCGAGTTGGAGGGATACATGGGCCAGAGGCCCGTTACAATGTGCGCAGACATGGACCGGATGTCCGGGGCAGCTGCGGGTTTTGGTAATGTAGTCTTCGGCTGGATTTCCGGGCAGGGGCTGGATGTCCCGGGTCGTCGGGCGGATGTCCGGGGTTGGGCCAGATGTTCGGTGCCTGTAGGTACTTGGCGTCTAGGTTGCTGCTGTGGTTGAAATCTTCAGGGGTCGGATGTCTGGGTCCTGTAACCTTTCTCCGGTTCCTCTAGTCGTGCTCCTTCGTCCATGTGCTTGGGGACTTTTCCTTCATCACGAGCATCTCCGAGAGGGTCTTCTCCATACCTAATCACACATAGCATTTTGGCTTTAGGTAGTAGCCATGTCTCACGTGGGTCATACGGAATATCACAAAGGAGAGATGTCACCTCGGTCTCGAGGGCTCTTGCACGTGCTCGTGTCATCGGTCCACTTGGCACTTGGGGAAACATAGGTAGGTCCATGGGGATGACCGTAGGATTACCGCACAATCATCGCAACAGTTTCAAATACTGTTGCATCTACGTACGCACATAATTGTTTGTTGGAGGTCTAGGGCCCATCTTAAATAAGGGCCCAATATATCGATCTACATACTTAAATAAAATACAAAAAATGATTTGCAGAACAAAAAACCTGTTGGGGAACGTTGCAGAAAATTAAAAAAATTTCTACGGTTTCACCAAGATCCATCTATGAGTTCATCTAAGCAACGAGTCAAGGGAGAGAGTTTGCATCTACATACCACTTGTAGATCGCGTGTGGAAGCTTGCAAGGTGATGATGTAGTCGTACTCGACGTGATTTGAATCACCGATGACCAAGTGCTGAACGGACAGCACCTCCGCGTTCAACACACGTACGGGACGCGAGACGTCTCCTCCTTCTTGATCCAGCAAGGGGGAAGGAGAGGTTGAGGAAGACAGCTCCACCGGCAGCACGACGGCGTGGTGATGGTGGAGAGGCAGTACTCCGACAGGGCTTCGCCAAGCACACAACGGAGGAGGAGAGGTGTTGGGGAGGGGAGGGCTGCGCCTTGGAGGGTGGTGTGACTGCCCTCCCC